GGGTGTTTTTAAAAAAGTCCCGATTTTCTGGCTTCATGTTGAAAACCCAGTGGATTTGCTTAAGAAATCCTAACAGTCGCTTCCCTCTCTAGCCATTTCCTGCAGCTCTATGGTACTAGATCATTTTTTTCTTATAAAATGAGGTAAACGCGACCGGCGCGGGGGGTGGGGGTGGGGAGGTCCATTTTGTTGCTTTAACGTTTTAATATCTTCAATGAAAGTACTGAGACAGAGAGGGGGATTAGACAGGGTGTCTTTTGTCTTGCCCCGGTTAGGATTTCTTAAGCAAATCCACTGGGCTTTCAACATGAAGCCAGAAAATCGGGACTTTTTTAAAAGGCAGAGGGAAAAATTGTTATAAAGCGTGCTTGTTACGCTGAAATCGGTACGTCTGGTCACCTTAGGTTTGGGGTAGTTACATGTTTTGCTCTGGTTCTGGAAAGGTTCTGTTCTGATAATGGACCAAAATTCAGATATTTAGTGGAGAGTAGAAAAAGCCCTGAATAAAAATGCTGATGGACATTTTGGGAGACATTGTTGGGAAAAGTGGATCAAGTGTTCCTCATTTTTGGATTCTGGATTCTGTTTTTGTCCATAAAAATCAAAATGTTACTGATTTTATTTCTGTCAAACTATGGTTGATACTAGAACATGTAGGATGTCAAACTTGGTGCTTTTTTGTTTTATTTAATTGAAATTTTATTGTTAAATAAAAATAACAAGCTTCAAACATTGATTAGAGACAATAATTGAGACTGTATTATCTAGTATTAATTTAATGTTCAACTATTGTACCTTTCATAGAAAAATAGACTTTCTCACAATATACTAATGTGACAAATCAATAAATAAATGGAAACAAGAGTTAGTCACAGACACTACAAAATATTTAGTAAAACAGAATAGGAATTCAACTTCTTAAAATTATTAATTTGATAAGATATTATTCTCTGCATATTTCTTTCCTAGAAAGAATCTACATAGTAAAATCTAAATCCACAAAAGCACAACTGATTCACCCTTTTTTGCTTAAAAAAGGAAAACAGAACAGTACACATTATATAAAAGCATCAGAAAACACTAAAAAATATACATTTTCAGTTAGGTTTAGTTTAATTGTATCTATATAGGAAACTGTAGAAAAGCCTGATCAGAAATTCTAGATATTGTACTAGACAAAATATTTTAACACTTAGTACCTTTTTTTGAGTGTGCAAAATAGGGACCTAACGATAATCCAAATAAAACCACAGATTTTATTTTTCCAGTAATAAAATTTGTTTTGCAGTTGTGCAATTTAAGCATTAACAGAGCATATGTCCAATTTCCTATTTCTGTTAAAATAAAAAAATAAAAATAATGTACAGGATATGTGCATATTTTCAGATATTCAAATTTGCCTGGAAATTGCTATCGGTATAACACACCAATAGAATACCAATAAAAATTCCATCAGCAGGGTATTAAGATGTGAATTTCATGTACGATCAAGTTTTAAATACTATTGTATGTTCTGCACACTTAACCAAAACTTAAATCCCTCTGCTTTTGGATAAAATTTTGGGCTTAAATATATTATTTTTCATTTTAGTTGAGTAGCTTTAATTTGGATCATACCATCAGATTCATGATCTAGATTTATTCTTATCTGGCAAATTTGCCTCCTCATCTTTTTCTGAACAAAACCAATAAAAATTACTCCAACTGAACACTTTACTATATTTTTTTGCATAACAAGTGAAGAATTCGATGTATTTTACTGCAATATTTTAATTAAAAAAGTTCATTACATTTACTCCTATCTTTTACAGAAAAAAATATCTAACCGATTTTTAGGAAGACTTTGAAGCAAATTAAATGCAACAAGAAAGTAAATAAACATGTAGTGATCAATTTCCTGACTCATAGGATTTGTGCTTCATTTGGAAATAGGGTGTTTGCAGACTATAGTAAAAAAAATACATAAAGATGGCGACTACACTGATGCTTGATGCAGCAAAAAAAACAGGCTAAGCTTCATTTTTTTACTGTCAATGCCGCCATCTTACTTCTTTGACCTTACTCTGTAGACATCTTTCCTTAGGCATGTGGTTTTGCCTTCTAAGATATACTCACCTGCCAGGAAGAATAGACTCCTCATAATAGCTTTTGAACATTTGCAAGCAATATTGTCATGGAAATATATTCCATGAGAATTACTACTGTATAAAATACGTTTGGGACAATTTCCATATATTTTGAGCAAACTGGATGAAAGCATACTTTTTCACTTTCTTCCAAACTAGTGCAATTAGAAAATACTGGGCTTCCAATCCACCAAGGTTGGAAGAATACGGAGCAACTGTACCTTCTAACAGAGTTTTTAATATTCATTTGTTTTATCCCTGCTTTCACTCTCTCCCAAATGTTCAGAATGGGAAGACTTATGGATATTTGATTTATTTATTTCTGTCAGTTACAGTTTTCTAGAACAGGATTTTGGAGTTTGTGATTATAATCCTCATCCATGTTAGCTACTTCTAAAGTGAGAACAGTGCATTTTTACCACAAATGTTTTAATTAATAATCTATAACACAACTAAATAAGTTATATTATGTTAAAGTGCTACAATACCAAATGGCCTTAAGAATCAATATAAAATCCAAGTTCCAGAACACTTCCATGTAAGCCAATGTTATCCTATCACTATTAAATGGGACTCAACTGTATGCTAATCTAAATACATTTTAGCTGCAACCGGTATTTTAATCACATTAAACAGTAGTTAATGCACATTTGTTTTTGTTTTGAACAAGCAGCTCTTTCTGAAACCTAGGCAGTGTGCAACTAGGTTCCCAAGTCAGTTTTTTTTTTAAATTACAGTGTTCAAAATTGTAAATCCCACAGCATTAAAAAATATATTTTAAAAAACATTCTCAACCAAGAAAACAAAAGATCTGAAGAAACAGATTCTTGTCTTCAAGAGCTGCATTTGAATGCTTCATTTATTTGTCTCCTGTCAATGTTTATTTCTTCAGGCTTGTCACGCCGGTAAGTTACTGTTTTTGCACAAACAGTAGGCAAGAAGGTCTTATCCTTGAAGGAGAAAATATAGCTGGTCAGAAGCTATAAAGACACAGCCAGCATTATAATTATGTTCAAGAAAATAATCATCAGTTACCTTTTTGGCTGCAGGCACTCTATAACCTGCTGAAGACTTGATTCTACTATGGTCACAATATACAATTATCTGACGGATTATGCATACTTTAAGCAAACCAATCAAAAACGTTATTATAAATATAATGAAAAATATTCTGAAATAACTCGGATCATCAGAAAGGCATTCTGCAATGAAACAGTAAAAGCAAAAAATAAAAACTGACCCTCACAAAACAATAATATTGTGAGAAAACCCAGACAATATATTTCGACTGCAAAACAAACACCTTACTAAGTCAACTACCCTGCTTCCCTGAAAATAAGACCTCCCCAGATAATAAGGCCAATCGGGCTTTTGAGTGCATGCGCTAAAATAAGCCCTCCCCAAAAAATAAGTCCTCCCTAAAAATATTGCAACACAGCAGCAGCAATTAAATGACCACGCTCGCCGCCTCCTGCATCTCAAAAATAATAAGACCTCCCCGTAAATAAGGCCAAGCGCTTATTTCGAGGGTCAAAATAAAATAAGTCCCTGTCTTATTTTGGGGAAAACACAGTAGTTAATTAACCAGCTTATATTAACAAAGTTTGTCCATGTTAAAAGGAACTCTCTAATAATAAATATGAATAAATTGATAATGAAGTATTTATTGTTGGAAATATATTCTGTTTTTCTGCTGAAATATAGTTACTACTTAAGGTCACACAAAACTTATATAAAATTAGAAGAGAAACAACAAAATTACTTATTATTATGTTTTTTTTACTGATTTTGTAAGTAAGAACGAATGTAGTTAATGCACATCTTAAAGAGCATATATAATAACTTATAATCTTTGCAGAAGGACACACATAAAAGATTCCCTCTAAATGTATGGCCAAAAGAACTGCTCTTTTACATCTTAAAATAAGGAAATATTTCATAGTCAACTAAGCTTTTAATTGGAAATCTGCATTCCATTCTACCTGCACCCTTTCTGCCAATTATTTTCTAACATTTTTTAGAATCTCTTGAGAGTTACCCATATCTGCAATTATTCTTCCATTACAAGTAATTGAGTTGTTTTTGATATATAAGATAAAGTTTTATTGAACTTGACAAGACATGATTGACTTGATGACATCAAGGGAAATTTCTAGGGAATAATAAGGAAATGATTTGGCAGTGTGCCTTTCAATGTCTTTCTTCAAAATTCCCTATCTATATACTAAGGAGATTGGATTTACCATTCTGAGATTAACTAAAGTCAGCTAAGTGCATCATTATCTGGACAATTATATTTGTGCTTTCAAATCAGTGGTGACTCCTGGTGATTGTAGGTGTATTGGCAAGATTTTTAGGAGTAGTTTGCTTATTGCCTTCTTCCTAGGATCAAAAGAGAGTGATTGGCCCAAAGTCACCAAGTATGAGACCATACTTGGTGACTTTGGGCCAATCACTCTCTTTTAGTCCTAGGTAACATAAAAGACAACAACACTGAGCAGGTCTAAATGTAGTGAACACCTTAATTATTATTCTGGAAAGGCCTAGGAGTTCCAAGTGAATCCCATCATACACAGATACTAACAGAACTGAAAAGATCATAAAGATAATATTTTGCCTAAGGAAGTATAAGCTGCTATAGTGGTGCTTGTCCATTGAAAAAATTCCCAGAAGAAACAAGATGAGTTTGTCTTAAAAGTTAAAAAATAGCTTCACATTTTCTTTCAATGGGATGTGCAATAAGGACAGCCTTTATGCAGAAATGACAATATATAATGATGATCTGAGGGAACGATTTTTCTTGAATTATTCTGGCCAGCTTTGCCAGTAACAAAATTAATTCTCAAAGGTCTCAGACTATGTAAAAATCAACATTTTTTCAATATTACTTTTACTGTTATTAGATATTGCTTCCCACAGGAAAAAGTAGTAGTCTTAGAACAGTTAAAGCATTAATACATAAACATTCCTCTGAGTTTTCTTAATCAAACTGAAAACTGAATGTGATTCATATGTGAGGAGGGAAATTCTAAGTGTTTAGCAATATGCTGGTGAAAGAAAGGGCAGAAGAAGAAAAACACTATAATATATAATTTGATTACCATTGGAAATTAATCCACAGCCATTAATTTACAGACATCTACAGTATCCATTTTTAACTATGAGTTCTAATAAAAGGAATTGCACACCAGGCAAATTCATATCTGTGGATTAAGAAATATTTCATAAACAAATCTTTCTTAAAACTCATAACAATGAAAACTCTAATTTAATAATTAGGTTGAAGAAGGCTGATATATAAATAATTCAGTTGGTTTTTTTTTTTTTGCCTACCTGATCTTTCAAGATAATGCATTCTATAATTGCAAGTGGTTTTGCATTGGCCAAGTGTATTATGTGAAGAGTTGAAGTGTCGGCAAGATTCACAATTGCTGTAAAACAAAATTAAGCAGACCGTGTTTTTAATTTTATTTTTGTCTCTGGACTTCATAGCAATACAAAATATTAGCCATGGATGTAAGTCTGAACATTGATTCATTGTCTCAGTACCAATTAGAATAAGAATTATTATTTCCTATTTAATCAAACAAATGGTTTGAAAACAAATAGGCAATCATAAGGATTTCAGCTAGCTATGAATAGAAAAGGCTTCACAAGAAATATTATAATTTATTTTGTCTTTCTTGGAAGGCCTGCTCATTATGCCACATTTCCCTGTTTGGCAATAATTCTTGGATGGAAAGGTGGAATCTATGCTGCAACAATATATTTCAAAGTTCACTTTATACAACAATCATCATTTTGTCTCAGCCCTTCTCAATACCATTTCATTTAAATGGACTCTGACAATGTACACAATATTTTGAGTTTGAAACAGACACCACTGGTATTATATTATATTTATATATTCATACATCTTCCCAGTTCTATAAGGAGTCTGGGCAAAGAGATAGAATATTGAATATTCAGCTCCTTGAAAACAAGGTTGGAAAAAGATGGTCTGATCAATCTTTTAAAAGTGTTTTGACTGCAAAACAAAATATTTATTTTTTAAAATACTCCAAATCCCTTCCCCTAAAGATTGTCATCTGGTGGGACTTTGGAGGCATACAACTTCTCTGTAGCCCTCTCAGCCCTCTGGAAGAGCCTCCCACCTGATTTGGGAGACTGTCACTCTTTTAGCTTTCTGGAAGGCCATGGAGACCTAGCTGACCTAACTGAAACACCTAGCTAGGATAGGAATCAAGTGAGGAGGTCAATAGTTTGGCTGGTCTGTCTTGTGGGAAGGATTAGCATTTTTATTCTTCTACTTTTATTGTTGTTTTTATTGGTTGAGCCACCTAGGACCACTTTATGAGATAAACAGCTATTAAGGTTTTTTTAAGTAAATAGTGAATGAGAATGGCAACTCCAGGCAATTTTATTTTCTCTAGGCATTTCATTTAAGACACCTTCTCCTCCCTTTCCTCTTCTTTCTCCTCATTACAATTAATTTACCCTCCTGAAAGCCAAAAAACTATGTTACAGACAATTGATATGTTTTCTCTCCCCTGAAACTCCTATAAATTAAAAAGTAGACTCAAACTACTTTGTGAAGCAAAAAGTTCATAGAGAATTTAATATATTTGGATTTAGAATATATTTTTTTAAAAAATGACAAATATTTCCCAAACCACAGACTTACCGCTTGTCATTGCAAACTTTCCTACAAGAAGGACAGAATTCACACAAAGATCCTAAGCTGTTGGGGTCAGCACACCTGCATTTCCCACATACACAAATTCCTCTTCCACTGCAGATTTGGCCATTTGAGTTCATGCAGTGTTTTTGCAAAGATAAGGCGCACTGACAGCGATCACCTTCCCAGCCCCTAAAACACTTGCATTTGCCAGCTTCACATTCTCCATTGCCTACAAAAGCAGATCAAGAAAGAAAGAAAAAAAGAAAGAAAGAAAGAAGGAAGGAAGGAAGGAAGGAAGGAAGGAAGGATGGGTAGATAGATGGATAGATAGACCCGATTACATTATTTGCTAGAACAATCTATTAAGTTATTCCATATTATATTTTTAGGCAGACTCTTTAGAACAAATGTCACCCTACTTCATTATGAAACCATAAAGTGTATTTTCATGAGGAAAATACTAAAAATATGAAAAAATATTTCTTTCCTTCAGCTTAGATTTTATTCCTGCATAATACACTTGGTGTGAATTGTAAGTAGCACTTTAACATCAAAACATCAAAGTTCTTAGATTCATTCACTGGCTTCCAATTGCTTTATCCAGCACAACAAAATAGCTATTATCTTTAAAAATGTACTGTCACCTCAGGCCTTATTGTTTATATATACCACTACTTCAAATCTTGTTCAACTTGTTTAAACATCTCCAGGCTCTTTTAAATGATCCTGTTTTTCCCCTTTGCTGCAATGTACATTCTTTAAAATGATTGAACATTTTATCTTTCTTCTTGCATATAAACTCTGCCGACCTCTTCAGATGGGGCCATACCTACTTCCAGAACTGGGGGAATTACTTTCAAAAATGGCAAACCAATTCTGCAATGTCTAAATTGGAGTATTTTGGAGAGAAAAAATCTAGAACATTTGTTACCACACTACATTTATTTTTGCTTATACAGTTCTATGTTTTAAAAGTGATTTGCAAGAATGAAACTGGGGTGTGTGGATGTGTGTGTGGGAGAGAATATGCTTCTTAGCCTGGGACTTAGTATTAAGAGAGATTATAAATCATATGAAACTAAAATATGAATAAAACCTTATAAAATTCCAACCTTACCAGCACATAGTTTTCCAAGGTAATATGGGCAGGAAAAGTCATCTTTTTCACAGTATTTACCATATATTGTACCATATTTGTTTTTATAGCAAATGCATTTCCCGTTTACACATTCTCCCTGTCCACTGCATAGAAGATGGTCCAGTTCCATCTTACATTGCTCCGAAGATAATTTTTCACTAGAACCACATATTCCATCCTTGCAGGTGGATATTTCATCATCAAGAGGGCTTTCATTGATGCAGATTTTTTTGTGTTTTCCACTGTCCTCACATTGACACACACATCTTTTATGGATGTTAATTCTAGAGGATTCGTTGAAACCAAGGGGTTTTATCATCACATGGTTTCTTCTGTCAGTTGCATCACATTCTTTCATGGCAATAGAAATATTAAAGAATACCTATGATTAAAAATATGAAGTATTGAAATTACTACATCATGCAAAATGTCTCAATGGAGATTTAGGGGAAATGAATGTGAGAATTTTGTGCTGATTTGGAACCAACCAGAGATTTCTGTCCTGACAATTGAACCATTGCAGAGATGGAAAATCAGCATTTTGGATGAATGATATTGTGCTTCTATTTTTCTACTGAGGGACTTTTGATTTTGATTCTGTTCTGATTGATTCCTAAGCTTCACTGTTCTGTAAAAGAAATGCTAGCTTGACCCATTTGCCATTCCCACTTATAAATAAATGACTTCAAGTCAGTAAGACTTTTGGTAAAATGATAAGTATTTACGATGACTTGACAAGAGCATACAGGAATTCTAGAAAATAAATGTTAACTTGATTTGAGCTTATTGGAAAGTCTAAGAATAAATCTTTTAGTTAGGATTAATTTAAAATAAAGCTCCAAAAAAATTAAACTATGGCAGAAACATGGAGAACGTAAGAACTTTAATCCTCTGAAATTCAGTTTTAAATCCATAGAAAGCCTTATTCTATTGAAAAATGTCCACAATATCATGAACAAAATATTTCATCTCCCTTGTTAAAAAAAGAAATGTTCATACTTCAGTTGAAGATTTGACGTTCTTGCATCCCTCTGAACCCATTTTTCTACTTCCATCAGGACAGATTGCAGTAACTTTGACATGTATATCTTTGAGGGTGTTATCGACTTGAATTTTCACTTCAGAAAGCAGCTTCTGAAAGAAAATAAGAGCAAAATAAAAATAATGATAGTACTGCAGCAACATATACTACCAATTAGCAAGTTCTACTCAATTCATTTGGAGTGAAATAACCTGTTGTTCCAGGAATAAAGGAGACAATTGTTTTCTGCACAGATTTTTGTTTTCACAGCCGTGTGATTCAATGGTTTAGGATGACCTTCCTTTTCATTCTGATGCCACAGGGCAATTTCTCATATTACCCTCTTAATTGGACATTATGTGTAAGTAAGTGCTTAGGTATTAAAACAGCAACTTGCTTGAACTGTCTGCTATTAGTTCAAGATTATGAGAGTTTTTCACCTGACTGATGTCCAACCACCAACACTACCTAAAGCATATAGGAACAAGAACACCTGCAGAAGTGTGTGTGTGTGTGTGTGTATCATTCGAAAAACAAGAATACAGCAGCAATGTAAAAAGGGGATACTTAATGATATATTTTTCAATTTGCCTACAATGCTATGCAATAATTGCACATATCATATATATGCTATATATTCAATGGCTTTAAACAGGCCTTTTTTTCCTTTGAAGAAGAAGAAGAAATAAAAATATAGCTGGGATTTTCATAATATAAATATGACAACACAAATTTATGGCATTATAAGCAAAATGTGTTTGTGTACTATGTAATAACAACAATTATCACTGTCAAATGCACATATTGTGCAATAGTTAGGGTTGAAGAACAAAATGCTGAATTATATGAATCACAGCAAAATCATAAATATGCTAAGAAGTATCTATGATAAAAATGTCATATACGTGTATAAGAAATACTACTAACAATATGAGAAGCACAACCTAACTGAACATTGGCATGAGAAAACAGAAAGATAAGTGTGTAAAAATAAACCTGCGGAAGTAGCAGGCTTTTTCTTTAACAGCATTGAGGTAGGCAGTCTGCCTCCCAGATTTTTTGGCACATACCTTCCAAAATCTTGCCATAAGCCAAGCTATCTGAGGTTACAGAAAGTTTACTTGAATTCCAAAACATCTGCAGGATTTTTAGTTTATTTCTCAAAACAATCCAATGTTTTACAGTATTAAAAAGATCCTCATTGATATGAAAGTTGTAGAACTCTTAATATATTTTATTCAGTTTATTGTACATATACCAGGTTTAGGTTTAGGTTTAGGTTTATTAGCATTTGTAGGCCGCCCTTTTCCCTGAGGGGACTCAGGGCGGCTCACAGAAAACCAGGAAGGGGGGAATACAACATTAAGATAACAACATATAATAAAATAATAAACAACATACATTCATCATTCGGGCGGGGTAACGATCCTTATCCCCAGGCCTGACGGGCGAGCCAGTTCTTCAAGGCTATGCGGAAGGCTTGGACGGTGGAGAGGGTACGAATCTCCACGGGGAGCTCATTCCTGGTTTTCTGTGAGCCGCCCTGAGTCCCCTCAGGGAAAAGGGCGGCCTACAAATGCTAATAAACCAAACCAAACC